GGGATTTTCCGGGAATGCCGTGGGGGGATTTTTGGGAATGCCGGGGTTGATTTTCTGGGAATGCCGGGGGGGGATTTTTGGGAATGCCGGGGATTTTCCGGGATTCCCGGTGGGGATTTTTGGGAATCCGGGGGGGGGATTTTTGGGAATGCCGGGGATTTTCCGGGAATGCCGCACCGGGACACGAGCACCATGAGGTTGCGGTCGCTGTCGACGCTGTAGCGCCGGACGTAAACGTAATCCCGGGAATACATCGGATACTGCGGGATGGCAGCGCCTCAGATCCTGATCCCAGATCCCAGATCCCAGATCCTGATCCCAAATCCAGATCCCAAATCCCGATCCCAGATCTCAAATCCTGATCCCAGATCCTGATCCCAGATCTCGAACCCTGATCCCGATCCCAGATCCTGAGCCCAGATCCCAGATCCCAGTCCCAGTCCCAGATCCCAAATCCCGATCCCAGATCTCAAATCCTGATCCCAGATCCTGATCCCAGATCCCCATCCCAGATCCTGATCCCAAATCCAGATCACAAATCCCGATCCCAGATCTCAAATCCTGATCCCAGATCCTGATCCCAGATCCCCATCCCAGATCCTGATCCCAAATCCAGATCACAAATCCCGATCCCAGATCTCAAATCCTGATCCCAGATCCTGATCCCAGATCTCAAACCCTGATCCCGATCCCAGATCCTGAGCCCAGATCCCAAATCCAGATCTCGAATCCCAGATCCCCATCCCAGATCCCAGATGCTGATCCCAGATCCCCATCCCAGATCCTGATCCCGAGCACAGATCCCACATCCAGATCCCAGTCCCAGATCCCAATCCCAGATCCCAGATCCCAAATCCAGATCCCAAATCCCGATCCCAGATCTCAAATCCTGATCCCAGATCCTGATCCCAGATCCCAGATCCCGATCCCAGATCCTGATCCCAGATCCAGATCTCAAATCCCAGATCCCCATCCCAGACCCCAAATCCTGATCCCAGATCCCGATCCCAGATCCCAGATCCCAAATCCCGATCCCAGATCTCAAATCCTGATCCCAGGTCCCGATCCCAGATCCCAGATCTGGATCCCAAATCCCAATCCCAGATCTCAAATCCTGATCCCGGATCCCAGATCTCAAATCCCAAATCCCGATCCCAGATCTCAAATCCCAGATCCAGATCCCAGATCCCAGATCCCCAGCCCAAATCCTCATCCGAGATCCCAGATCCTGATCCCGGATCCTGATCCCAGCTCCCAAATCCCGATCCCAGATCCAGATCCCAGATCCCAGATCCCCAGCCCAAATCCTCAGCCGAGAGCCCAGATCCTGATCCCGGATCCTGATCCCAGCTCCCAAATCCCGATCCCAGATCCAGATCCCAGATCCCAGATCCCCAGCCCAAATCCTCAGCCGAGATCCCAGATCCTGATCCTGGATCCTGATCCGAGATCCCCATCCCAGATCCTGATCCCTGATCCCAACCCCTGATCCCAGATCCTGATCCCCATCCCAGATCCTGATCCCATCCCAGATCCTGATCCCCATCCCAGATCCCCATCCCAGATCCTGATCCCATCCCAGATCCCCATCCCAGATCCCCATCCCAGATCCTGATCCCATCCCAGATCCCCATCCCAGATCCCCATCCCAGATCCTGATCCCATCCCAGATCCCCATCCCAGATCCCCATCCCAGATCCTGATCCCCATCCCGGATCCCCATCCCAGATCCTGATCCCATCCCAGATCCTGATCCCATCCCAGATCCCCATCCCAGATCCTGATCCCAAATCCCGACCTCAGAGCCCAGATCCCAGATCCTGATCCCAAATCCTAGCTCCCATTCCCCCATTCCCAGATCCCAGATCCCCATTCCCAGTCCCCCAATCCCATTCCCAATCCCATTCCCTCATTCCCAGATTCCCCCATTCCCAAATTCCCAGATCCCATTCCCAGATTCCCTGATCCCATTCCTGATCCCAGATTCCCAGACCCCATTCCCAGATTCCCTGATCCCATTCCCAACCCCATTCCCAGATCCCGAATCCCACATTCCCAGATTCCCATTCCTGATCCCACATTCCCGGATCCCATTCCCACATTCCCAGATCCCATTCCCGGATTCCCAGATCCCATCCCCCATTCCCCCATTCCCAGATCCCATTCCCAGACCCCATTCCCAGATTCCCAGATCCCATTCCCAGATCCCATTCCCATTCCCCATTCCTGATCCCAGATTCCCATTCCCCATTCCCAGATTCCCATTCCCACATTCCCATTCCCACATTCCCATTCCCCATTCCCAGATTCCCATTCCCACATTCCCATTCCCACATTCCCATTCCCCATTCCCAGATTCCCATTCCCACATTCCCATTCCCACATTCCCATTCCCCATTCCCAGATCCCATTCCCGGATTCCCAGATCCCAGCCCCCATTCCCCCATTCCCAGATCCCATTCCCAGACCCCATTCCCAGATTCCCAGATCCCATTCCCAGATCCCATTCCCAGATTCCCATTCCCAGATCCCATTCCCGATCCCAGATCCCATTCCCCCATTTCCATTCCCCCATTCCCATTCCCGGATCCCGTTCCCGATCCCAGATTCCCGGATCCCGTTCCCAATCCCACATTCCCAGATCCCATTCCCGATCCCAGATCCCCGGATCCCATTCCCGATCCCAGATCCCCGGATCCCCTTCCCGATCCCAGATCCCCGGATCCCATTCCCAATCCCAGATTCCCAGATCCCATTCCTGATCCCAGATTCCCAGATCCCATTCCCGATCCCAGATCCCATTCCCGATCCCAGATTCCCGGATCCCATTCCCGGATTCCCGCTCCCGCCTCACCGGGAACTGCGTGACCCAGTGGATCACCTCGGATCCCGAGGCCGGATCCCGCTCCACCACGTCCAGCTTCAGCACCAGCGAGTCCCACTTCTTCCGGTACTCCGTGTCCAGCTGGAACACCCGGAACATCCCGGAATTCCGGGGGAAAACAGGATCAGGGACAGCGGGAAAATCCCGGGAAAAACGGGATCAGGAACACCCGGAACATTCCAGGATTCCGGGGGAAAACGGGATCAGGAACACCCGGAACATCCCGGAATTCCGGGGGAAAACGGGATCAGGGACAGCGGGAAAATCCCGGAATTCCGGGGGAAAACGGGATCAGGGACAGCGGGAAAATCCCGGAATTCCGGGGGAAAACGGGATCAGGGACAGCGGGAACATCCCGGGAAAAACGGGATCAGGAGAGCGGGAAAATCCCGGAATTCCAGGGGAAAACGGGATCAGGGCAAAGGGAAAATCCCGGGAAAAACGGGATTGGGGACAGAGGGAAAACCCCGGGAATATGGGATCAGGACAGTGGGAAAATCATGGAATTCCGGGGAAAAACCGGGATCAGGACAGTGGGAAAATCACGGAATTCCGGGGAAAAACCGGGATCAGAAACAGAGGGAAAATCCCGGGAAAACGGGATCGGGACGGAGGAAAAATCCAGGAAAATGGGAAAAATGGGATCAGGAACAGTGGGAAAATCCCGGAATTCCAGGGGAAATCAGAACCAGGAAACCCTGGAATTCCAGGGAAAACTGGGATCAGGACAGTGGGGAAATCCCGGAATTCCAGGGGAAACCGGGATCGAGAAACCTTGGAATTCCAGGGAAAGCCTGGATCAGGAAATCCTGGAATTCCAGGGAAAACCAGGATTGGGGAACCCCAGAATTCCAGGGAAAACCGGGATTGGGGAACCCCAGAATTCCAGGGAAAATCAGGATCAGGAACCCCCAGAATTCCAGGAAAAACCGGGATTGGGGAACAGGGGGTGGGAGAAAACCCCGGAATTTCCAGGAACGGTTGGGAAAATCCGGGATTGGGAATTTTCCGGGATTCCCAGGAAATCCCCGGGACGGGTTAAAAAAACCTGGGAATTTTCCAGGTTTTCCGTGGATCCCAGTGGGAATTCCCAAAGATTTGGGAGCCAAATCCCGCCCGAAATTCCAAGGATTCCCGAGGAATTCCCGGGATTTGGGCTCACCTGGACGTTGAAGAATTGCCGGGGAGTGACGTCGGTGTAGGAGCCGAAAACTGCGGAGAGAATTCCCGAAAATCAGCAAATCCCGGGAAAACCAAAATCCCGGGAATCCAAAAATCCCGGGAATCCGAAATTCCGGGAAAAGCAAAATCCTGGGAATCCAAAATCCCGGGAATCCAAGAATCCCAGAAATCCAAAATCCTGGGGAACCAAAATCCTGGGAATCAAAAAATCCCGGAAATCCGAAATTCCGGGAAAAGCAAAATCCCGGAAATCCGAAATTCCGGGAAAAGCAAAATCCCAGGAATCCGAAATCCTGGGAATCCAAGAATCCCAGAAATCCAAAATCCCGGAAAACCAAAATCCTGGGAATCCAAAATCCCGGGAATCCAAAATCCTGGGAAATCCCAAAAAAATCCCGGAAATCCAAAATTCCAGGAAAACCAAAATCCTGGGAAAACCAAAATCCTGGGAAATCCAAAATTCCAGGAAAAGCAAAATCCTGGGAAACCAAAATCCCGGGAATCAAAAATCCTGGGGAATCCAAAATCCCAGAA